TATAAGTCTCTAACACTCTCTTGCAGTTTCTGCAGACACAGAAGAGGGGGCATCTTTGGGGAAGTTTCCATTTTTAGAGAAGGTTATTGGTAAAGCCTTTTTAGCTAATAGTATTTACACTTTCTACTTCATTAAATGTCCATATTTATCATCATGGTTCCCAAACATTTGTCGGTTCCTATTGGTAGGGGCAGTAAATTTGGCACGGTTTGGAGAACTACCCTTCATTTTCCCCATTAGCTGTAATCTAAGACAGAATCGTCCATGTGGACACAACTTTATAAAGAGCAAATAGACAACATATTAGAAATATTAAATATGAAATAGTACTAATGTATTGATTGATACAGTGTAAGTGTACATAACCTGTTTAATCCCTGGTTTGAATTCAGTGGAGTTCAAATGGAAATAGTTTTTTTATTTTTTCTTCTAAAGGATGCCTGCAATCTGACTTCCAGCCTCATTTTTCTGTTTTTTAATTAATCTTGAGCACAGACCATAATTTTCAGGTGATTCTTCACTGTTAAAATTAAGTCCATGGGGACAGGTGTGGTGGCTCTTGCCTGTAATCCTAGCACTTTGGGAGGCCAAGGCGGGCAGATCACGAGGTCAGGAGTTCAAGACCAGCCTGACCAGCATGGTGAAACTCTGTCTCTACTAAAAATACAAAAATTAGCTGGGTGTGGTGGCAGGTGCCTGTAGTCCCAGCTACTCAGGAGGCTGAGGAAGGAGAATCACTTGAACCTGGGAGGCAGAGGTTGTAGTGAGCCAAGATGGAGCCACTGCACTCCAGCCTGGTTGACAGAGCGAGACTCCATCTCAAAGGAAAAAAAAAAAAAAAATTAAGTCCAGGGACGTCTGCTCTGGCCATGATGGAGTAACTAGTACTAGATTTATCCTTCTACCAGAAACAACTAAAAAAAAGACAAAATATGTGAAACAAGGGTTTTTGGACAATAGAAATCAGGTAGCAGAGGACAGGGACCAGAACGGGGGAAACAAAAGTGGTGAGCCCTATGACGGCCCCAGGTTACTGCCTGGAGAAAGTCTCCAGGCTGCAGCACAGGAAAAGGAACTCAGGCAGAGCTGATGGTCTCCCTGTGTTGAGAAGACAGAGATGGGAGTGTGGGAACTCAAGGCAGCTGGTTATCATAGGGTGTGTATACAAGAGAGGAGAGGGATTTATGGAGAGAAAGCTCCAGAGATCTGCAGAGCGTCCCCCTTGAGACTTAGGTAAGAGCTGAATAGCTCATGTACGTGAAGAAATATCCCCAAAGTTGGGGAAAGAACCATCCCAGAGGACTAAAGGAAACAAATTCCTGTGTTCTGGATTTGAGGGTATATTAGAGATACAAAGGAAGATGCGGAAAGACCAGGGGCTCTGGGCATCAGCAGGACATGGATGAGGAACTGGGTTGTGGAGGACTCGTCTTTGGGCAGAGGTCTTGCTCCATTGCCCAGGCTGGAGTGTAGTGGCGTGGTCATGGTTAACCACAGTCTCAATTTCCTGGGCTCAAGTGATTCTCCTAAATAGCTGGGACTATAGGTGCATGCCACCATGCCTGGCTTAATGTTTTTAAATTTTTGGTAGAGACAGGGTCTCACTACGTTGTCTAGGCTCGAGTGTCCTTTTTTAAAAGTAGATTTTATTTTTATTTTTATTTATTTATTTTTTTTGAGACGGAGTCTCACTCTGTCACCCAGGCTGGAGTGCAGTGGTGCGATCTCGGCTCACTGCAACCTCTGCCTCCCAGGTTCAAGTGATTCTCCTGCCTCAGCTTCCCAAGTAGCTGGGATTACAGGTGCCCACCACCACACCTGGCTAATATTTTTGTTGTTGTTGTAGTTTTAGTAGAGACGGGGTTTCACCATGTGGGCTAGGATGGTTTTGAACTCCTGACCTCAAGTGATCTGCCTGCCTGGGCCTCTCAAAGTGCTGGGATTATAGGTGTGAGCCACCGCACCCAGCCTAAAAGTAGATTTTAAATTGGAGTGCAACATACAAATAGAAATGTGCACAAATCATAATGTGCTCACTGAGTTTTCACTAGCACACTTGTGTAAACCAGATTATAAAATAGAAAGTTCCCAGAAGCTCCATTTGCACCCCTCCCAATCATTAACACTGCTCCCCCAAAGGCCACTATCGCCTCCCACCCCCCGTCCATCATCATCACCAAGGCAAACCTTCCTCCTCAGCTGGGCCCATTTACAATCCCCTCTGGAGTTGCTGCTTCTCTGGCTGACACTGCCTGACTTAGTGTTGGGTGGCAGGTATCCAAGTGCTGGCTGTCTTAGGGGTGTGGCTTGAGTTCTTTGGAAGACCCTGTGGGGTCTCCCCACTGCCCAGTTCCCTGATGCAGGCCCTCTGGCTCTGGACTGATGTCCATTCTTCATCAGCTCCATTATTAAAGTCTGCTCGCCTGGCAGGCAGCCCTCTTGGTGGGGTACCGGAAAGATGGCTCGAGCCCAGCTACATTCCACAGTGTCCGCTCAACCCATGGGAAACTCATGTATCCTGGCCATGCCAGTGGGCCAAAGGCTGCTCCACGACCCCCTCCCATTTCTCCTTTCTCTTGTTATTAAGGCTATGATGGATGGAGATCTCCAACTGGAGAATGGAATGCCGGTGCCAGTACCCCTTCCTGCAGGCCCCCATCATTACTGTAGGAGATGATCTTGGATAATGCCCTTCGCTTGGCTTTGGGGAAGAGTGAGGAAGGCCACTGCTTATCATGAGGCTGACAACGGCCTGTGCCTAATCCATTCTCCTCCACTCATTCTCCTTTTAAAGGGGGGCGAGGTAGGGAGTGTCTGTGGAGCAAGGACAGTGGTTTAAGGGTGCCTAGGATTTATTTCACCTATTTATTTATTTTTTTTGAGACGGAGTCTCGCTCTGTCGCCCAGGCTGGAGTGCAGTGGCCGGATCTCAGCTCACTGCAAGCTCTGCCTCCCGGGTTTACGCCATTCTCCTGCCTCAGCCTCCCGAGTAGCTGGGACTACAGGCGCCCACCACATCGCCCGGCTAGTTTTTTTGTATTTTTTAGTAGAGACGGGGTTTCACTGTGTTATCCAGGATGGTCTCGATCTCCTGACCTCGTGATTCGCCCATCTCGGCCTCCCAAAGTGCTGGGATTACAGGCTTGAGCCACCGCGCCCGGCAAAACAGAAGCTTTTTATACTCACAGATCCCTGGAAGCAGGGGGTACTGGATGCCACGTAGGGCCACACAGGGAAGCACCAGGTGGGTCAGGAGGCAGAGGGAGAGGGGGAAGTGTGGGTAAGAGCCTTTACTGGGGTTTCCACAGAAGGAACAGGTGAGGCAGGGTGAGCGGGGTTACCATTGGCTAGTTTGCATAATTTCAGCAGGCTCTGGGGCATAGGGGCTGTCCCTAGTTGTCTGGGACCTGACCCTGGGGAGGATTAAGGGCAGGTGGAGAGTGGCCCAGAGTGTGAGGGCCCAATAGAGGAGGTGGCTGGGGATGGGGGCTCTGGATTGGTTGGTTCGCATTTGAAAGACATGCGCAAACTGACTCATTTACTGTATCTAGGAATGAGCTAACCTCGGGAGGGGCGGTCCCAAGGGGGTCAGCAAAGTCCCTAGAAGTCAAAGCATCCTAATGCAGGAAAGAAAAGACACAATTAATAAAGCCAGTCTGATTGCCTCATAATGAGCTCTGGGGGGCCAGGTGTGGGGGTGGAGGGGTTCCGGTGGTTGCTGGGTCTTTTCAGAATGTATGTTACTTTTTACCTCTTTGTCCTCAGCTTTGGGTGCTGGCTGTTAATTCTGAGACAACAGGAAATATCTCAACATTCTGCTGTATAGTGATTAGTGAAAAACATTACATTGCATCCTATCTGACTTTCCTATTAGAAATTAAAGCAGCAAATGCTGAAATGGGCTACACTTCTGATTGGGGCTCAGGGTCCAAAGATTCTTTGGTTGCAAGCAATAGAATTCGACTGGTTGGTATCAGCAAAACCACGATCTGCGAAATGTGTGTAGAGTAGCTCAAGGGGAAGGAAAAGTGACCATCAGGCCTCTGAAAGACAGAGAGCTACTGTTGGCTTCCAGCTGCCACAGCATTTTGTATGCCCAGGAGTCAGGTTCCAGGGAGGGAAGAGGTGTGTCGATGAGGGGATCTTTGATTGACATTCTCATCAAGACTGCGTCATAAAGAACGAGGAGTGGTTTCCCAGGAGAAAATAAAGGGCTAGTACCAAAAGAAGAGGCTGTGAAATCTGGGTTGGACAAACCAAAAGACGTTCACTACAGGTAGACAGGTGCGCATAAAGAGTCCAGATTTAGCTTCAGAAAAGTCATATTTGAGCTCCTTCTCTGTCACTGATTATTTTGGTCATGATTTTTATGGACTTCTTTGTCCACCTATAATATACAGGGATATAATACCTACCTTACCATATTGTTGAGACAAGTAACTATAAATGCTATAAAAATGACAAGCCGCTATATGATTCATACCACATTAGTACAAACTACGTCATTCCTTCTGTTCCTGAATCTCCATCATCTCGTAGATGGTGTGTGTTCTTGTCACTGTGTATGGATTCACTATGAAGGTACTGATTTGATAGTAAAGCATAAAAACTTTAAACGTCCCATGGAAATGCAAAGATGTTCTAGTCTAATAAATTTTCAGGCTCTGAATCCCCATATGGAGCCAATTTGACATCCAGTTGTGCATCTAAAGTACTGTTAAAAACCCAACTCTTTATTTACCTAGATTCTCTATTTATCTTGAAATGAAAAGCATTTGCATGGAGAGGACTTCGTGCTTTTCAGCATGCAAAATGTCAAACAGATCTTATCTGACCTGTTGCTGCCCCCGTGCACAGCCCTGAGTGGCTCCAGGATCTGTGTTGACAATATTCCAACGTGTTCAGCTGATGTGCCAAAACCTATTGAAAACTCTAGGCCTGGATTGTGCTAACAGCACCCTTTCAAGTTCTTGAAATCCAGGCACATCCTGGGAGGAAAGAGGCCTGCGAGGTGTCTCACTTCTCTTACAAGAGAGATGGGTGGGAAATGAAACCTCCTGGGATCCAGACAAAGCCTTGGGTGTTGCTGGGGACATGTCCTTTGCTAATGGACAGACAATCTTGTATAGAGACATTCCAGCTTAACCTGGAGCTGTGCTCTCTGCTGGGATGCGGGTCCTTTCCCATGGGGGCCTTTGCTTGAGCGTCTAAGGACTTTCCAGTGAGAAAACTGATTCTGAGTGAGTACAAGGGTCAGGCGCATTCTTCGTTGCCTTTAATAGTTGTTGGAGGAATGAGTAATTCTGAAAGCAGAGCATGTTATTTATATTTATTTCCTAGCCCTATCTCCCCATGGTTGAGGGGTATTGAGGGGAAAGTGTGGATTTCTAATGTGGGTTGTGGATGTGAAATAAATCTCAGTGACCTACAGTCTCAAGGACGGCAAGACACAAATGACATGACTTTGGTGCTGGAGTGAAACAGCCAAACGGTGAAGCAGAGAGAGAGAGAGAGAGAGAGGCTGTTGCAATGATCTGTTTCTGCGGGACCATCTATTCCAAAACAGTGGCTTAACACAACCAGCATTGTATTAGCTCTCATGGTTTTGTGGGGGAGGAATTTGCACAGGCCCTGACTGGGTGATTCTGCTGCCTCAAGTGCTGTCTGTTGGGCCACGTGATGGTATCTAGCCAATGCTTGTCTAGGCTAAGATGCCTTCATTTACATCCCTGACACACTGGCAGGGATGGCTGGAAGGCTTGGCTCAGCTGAGTCCTGCTTCTTCTCTGGGGCCTGTCTGCTTGGCAATGGGAGGATACTTAGCTTCAACCCTGCAGCTCAGAGCTTCAAGAGACCAAGGCAGCAGCTGCCAGTCCTGTTCCAGGCTGAAATGGAGTCGCTTTCACGTTGTCTCTTGGTTAGAGTAGTTGCAGGCCAGCCCGGATTCGAAGGCAGAGACAGTAAGCCCAGCTCTTGGGAGAAGGAGGGTGAAAGGATTTATGGTAATCTTTTATTTGCCATACAGGCATTGTCTCTTCTTCTGCAGGCAGTTTAGAGTAGCTACTGCCTGGGGTGGGTTCCTAGGAAAGCACTGTTTTCCCTGAGATGGTAGAGCCTGGTTGTCAAGTATAGACAGTGCCCTAATGAGATAGCTTGCGTGTGCGTGTGACATGGGGCTCCCCTCACGCAGTGAGGGAGCGAGAGTGGCCGAAGCAGGTGTTAGCTGACTAGACTTGGGTGTATCACGTGGAAACACCCTTTGGGAACTCCCAGATGTACTTGGTGGGTGGGAAGATTGTTGCCCCAAAGCTTTCTACACCCTCTGCTGGACCTTGATGTACAAAAGCAGGTAAAGGCAGCAGAGCCTGCAATATTACTGTTCATGACATACTCCACCAATATATCCTCTCCACCTCACATGCACACCCACAGGCAGATATGGTTTGTGCAAAAGTTGATTATGTGTGTCAAAGATTCACCCCTAGCCTGAAAGTTTCTTGAAGTCCTATCCCTCAGAGGGCAGCAATGCTGTGCAGGCATGGCTCATCAGACCCAAGTCTCACCTCGGTGGTGATATCACCTGGGATGGAGTGAATCCCTCCTGAACACCAAGCTCCTTTTGTTGAGGGCTCACTCCTCAGTATTGCACCTTCCTGTTTAGTTCTCACAGCTCCATTGAACCACAGTATTCAGACTCTCATTTTTACAGATGAAGAAACAGAGGCTGAGAGATGCTAAGTAATGTGCCGAGCTCAGAGAGGGCAGGCGGATCTCAATGTCTGACTGCAATTGTCTTTCCTGAAGGACTCACTGCACGAGGGGCCCTTCCAGACAACAGCACTGTAAGCCCTCTAAGAGGAGTGTGCTTATTTTTCCTCTGCCGCCAACATGTCCTCTGCCCAAGTTCACAAACGTGGTGATGGCACCCTTTCACTTTCTTTTATTTTTTGTTTGGAGCCAGAGTCTCACTCTACCCCCAAGGCTGGACTGCAGTGGTGCGATCTCGGCTCACTGCAACCTCCGCTGCCTCCCAGGTTCAAGTGATTCTCTTGTCTCAGCCTCCCAAGTAAGCTGGGATTACAGGCACCCTCCACCATGCCCACCTAATTTTTGTATTTTTAGTAGAGACAAGGTTTTGCCATGTTGGCCAGGCTGGTCTCGAACTCTTGACCTCAGGCAGTCCACCTGCCTCGGCCTCCCAAAGTGTTGGGATTACAGGCGGGAGCCACCGCACCCGGCCCCCTTTCACTTTCTTTAGCCAAGAATCTGGTGGGGTTCCTGCAGGACAAATGCTTTCTGCTTGTCATGTTTCCTAGTCTGACGCGATCCTGCTGGGTTTCAGCAGGTCTCATCCATCGGGAGATGCTGGTGAAGGAGATCGAGGCCGGGTCCTTTGGTTTCTAGTTCCTTTTGTTTCTAAAACAACCTGACTTAAGTTCTCTCACTGGTGGACTCCCAGGAAAAAAGGTTGGTTTTTCTGGCTTTTGATTGAGATTCTGATCATAGATTCTGCCGCACACGTGGGAGTTGTGACAGGGATGTACCCAACTGCTGTCTGGTGTCTTTGCCCCGCACCAAGATTTCATCCTTATTGTTTGGGGCATTCTCTATTTTTAAAAACTGTCAGCCCTCAGATGGCACATCTATTGCTATTTCTTCAAAATCCATGTGAAGAAGTAGTTTTTAAATGTGTTACTGTGTATTCAGGGTTCGGTATCCTCCAGAAATCAACTGTGAGGAATTCCACCTCCAAATTCTACCTCCAAATAGTTGGAACAGGTTTGAGCTCCAACTATTGCCTGGCAGCGCACATAACTGGGCAGCTGACAGCTAAAGGGTGTCATCAAACCTTCCGCTTTTATCCCACCCTCCCTTCCCCTCTCGTTCGCCTTCTCTTCTTGCCCCTCCACATACCTTACAATACCCACAAAAGTAAAACTCTGCAAATGTTTGGGGTCCTGGTATAAAGTGAGAATGAGCTCCTGTCATGTGCCATCCAAACGACCGAACTCAATCCCCTTTATCTGCCCTGCTTTCAGCTGATTTTTCTTGCTGGTGCGCAGCTGTGAGATTCAGTTTCTCCACTGGAAAGCCTTCCCCATTGCACATGGTGGACAATCCATTGTGTTCACATGCATTCAAGGATCTTCACATTCCTACTCCAGCTTATCTTTCAAGGCTCACCACTCCCACATTAGGAGAAACCAGACTATTCACCTTTTCCACAAATGCTTTTGACCTCTGTGCCTTGCTGGTATTACTTGTCTATCTAGAATACCCTTCTTTACTATATTTCGTTTTCAAAAGCTAACCAGTTTCTCTAAGCCACATACAACAAATTTTTGTCTTCTCAGAGACGCCTTCCTTGAATTTCACAGCCTGAATAAATCTCATATTTCTCTATGTTCTCATAGCATTTTCTAAGTACCTTTTTTATAGGCCTTTTTACATTCTTACACACAGAGGCTGGCATGCTTGGAAATGTTTGCTGAGCTGTGAATCAGTTATTTGTGTGCATGACTAATTAATTACTGATGTTCAGAGACTATGCTCTTGCTTGTCTTTGGGGCCTTTTCTGAAAATCAGCAGTAGGTGCTCAGTAATTGCATAGAGTTGGCCGGGTGTGGTGGCTCACGCCTGTAATCCCAGCACTTTGGGAGGCTGAGGCGGGAGGATCACTTGAGGTGAGGAGTTCGAGACAAGCCTAGCCAACATGGTGAAACCCCGTCTCTACTGAAAATACAAAAAATTAGCCAGGCATGGTGGCGGGTGCCTGTAGTCCCAGCTACTTGGTAGGCTGAGGCAGGAGAATGGCGTGAACCCGGGAGGTGGAGCTTGCAGTGAGCCGAGATCACGCCACTGCACTCCAGCCTGGGTGACAGAGCAAGACTCCTCCTCAAAAATAAATAAATAAATAAATAAATTAAATAAATAAATAAATAAATATTTGCGTAGAGTTAAATGATACTGGTTAGCACACATATTTCTTTCCTTCTGGAAATTGATTTAAATTGTCTTAAAATGTTGATAATTTTCAGTCATTTAAAAAAAGAGACAAATTTTTGCTATTCAAAAGTAGACAATCCCTGGTTTACGTATTTGTTGAGTAACTAGCCTATTAATCTGAGGCACGGATTTTTATTTCAACGTGAGCATGGCATTTACTGCCACTTGGTGGCAGTGTACCCCAATTACAAGACTGTCTGACTACTAGACCCTGATAAGTGCTAAAATTACAAACCAGAAGTTACGAAGTGACAGTCTGTAACAACTCACATCTAGATTCTATTTTAGTGACAGAGAGTCTAGTACAATACCATAATACTTAAATATATCCTAAAATTAATATCTTTGGGTATGTTACTATTCTCCTGTTGAATATCTCCTAATTATCTTGTACTTATGGATGATGAATAGAGATGTAAATCTTATGAAGAATTGCCAGAAAATTAACCACTGGCAACGTTTTATGAAGGATGTTTTAAATGTTTAAGATAAGGTGTTCGCATATAGCTAGACAGGTTTAACCCCTCACTGTGATTTATGAAATCTGTGCAGGAAGAAGAGTTCTATGTAAACTTTCTACTCCTCCAGAAAGTAGTGCAAATGTAATTCTGAAAGGAACAAGGAACATTCTGGAAAAATCAAAGCCCACAAACCCAGGAAGCATCAGCTCTGGCAGTGTTATCAGCAGGGGCAGCTTGATAGTCTGTGGGAGGAAGCGAAGGTGATTTTGGAAGCTGGGTCTGGATACAAGTCACATTTTCTGAACTCTCATTTGTCCTTGTACGTGCTAGGTCATGTCACTCAGGTTGTAACCAGAAAAGATGAAGCCGTGTTTTACATTTGAGGGGAGTGGTGGAGAGAAGCAGCAGCAGCAAGATCAGGGATCTGGAGAATCAGGAAGCTTCTGTTGGATGAGGAACTAGGTCGCTGGGGACTCGTCCTTGGGCAGAGTGCATATTCTTGGTGTCACCTTTTATGTGAGATTTTTGCTACTCCAGAGGTAAACGGAGCTGCTTAATGGCGCCTTTATCTGCAAACCTAATTTCAGAGCTAAAGTTGGGAAGCTTGAGTGTCGTGGGAACACTGGGAGTGGCAGTCATTAAGCACTGCAGGGTTACCGAGAGGCTTGTCTTCTTTTTTCAAATGACTCAAGACAAAGTAGGGAAAGAACATGGCTGTATGTCTGATGCTTAGAGGAATCTGATTGCACAAAACTTTGTTGATAATCAAAATT